GCCCGGGCCTCCAGCCGAGCAAGAGTCACCCCGCGGCGGTGAGGAGGAGCCGGAGGAGGGAGGAAGGGGAAATTGCCAGAGTTCTGAACGTGTTTTTCCTTCCCCTCTTCTTTGTAGCCCGCAGTGCTGGGCGCCGCGCGAAAGCCGCGCCGACTCCCCAGAGTTGGGCTTCGCGCCCCAGTTCCCGGAGCGCCCCAACCGACTGCCTGCAAGCCGGGGCCGCCGTCGCGCCCCGATCCGCTGCGAGGACCTGCTCCGAGGAGGCGCGCCGAGCCATGGAGGGCGCCGAGCTCGCCGGGAAGATCCTTTGCATCTGGCTCGCCCTGGTGCTGGTCCTCATCCTCTTGCCTTCGGTTTTCGGGGTGTCGTTGGGCATCTCCGAGCTCTACATGAAACTCCTGGTGAAAACTTTAGAGGTGAGAGCGAGAAGGATGCGGGGCCGCACACCTCTCAGGCTTCCGAAGAACCGGGTCGGTGGGGGGACCAAAGGCAGGAACCGTTAGCGAGTGGTCCAGCGGGGTACCCGCGTTGGGTTTTACCTCCGTGGTAGCGCCAGAGAGCATCTCGACTTCTCACCCGAGCTGGAGGGACGTGGGCTGAGACCGCTGGACCCCTCCATTGTGCCTTTATCTGGAACACAGGGTGCAGCCGCCACTTCATCCACTCTCCACAGCTTTTACAACCCTAGGTTTCAGAGGTTCCTGCGTGTACTTGGGCAGCTTGTCCAGAAAGGCACTATCTGTGTTCTAACGTACGCTCATGATAAGACACTAATTACAGCCTGGCAGAAACATATCTGATTTATTTTTGAGGAGTCATGGAAATTTTATCTAACTAAGTGCACTTGAAAATGGGTATTCATTGACCTGGTGTCTCCCCAGAAAGTAGTTAGATGGAAGTAGGCGTTGCAGAGAATAACTGTAGTTTATCCCTATATTGGGTTTCATTACATGATAAAGGACTTTATCTCAACAGAGCTCCCCAATAGCCCTGTCAGGTACGAAGAAAAGGTGTGGTTTGAGGTTTAGAAACAGTCAGTTTTTCCTGAGTTCCATTTAGGAGATGAGCATGCGCTAACCGAGGAGAAGCTGGTATCTTGGGGAGGCTACAGCTGCGGGTTCAGGTTTACTGAGATTTAATTCCAGCTCTACTTTTCTGTAAGCGCTGATGGCAGAGCGCGTTACACAGTCAGCTGCCAGTAATAAGGCCAGATGTTCAAAATGACTAGTTGCACCATCAAGAGAGAGGAGATTTTCTTCTCCTATAAAGATTACAGCGACACTCAACCTGGGGGTCGAATGACCCTTTCACAGGGTCACCTGCTTCATCATAGTAGCAAAATTGCAGTTATGAAGTAGTAATGAAAATAATTTTATGGTTGGGGGTCACCACCACATGAGGAACTGTGTCGAGGCATGAGGAAGGTTGAGAAGCACTCACTGGTTTACCATCTCTGCAACCCACAGGCATAGCTCCACCCTGCCCTGTAGGGTCACTGTGAGTCGGAGTTGAGTTTGGATTGGTCTTCTGCTTCTCTGCAGTTCAGCGCTTGGTGACTAACCAAAAAAGACAGTGTGGTTTGAACCCAGAACCCAGCAGCCACTCCAAGGGAGAAAGATGTAGAGATTTGTGGCCTTGGAAACCCCATAGGGAAGTTCTCTGTCCTTCCGGGTCATTATGAGTCAAAAGCAACTTGGCAGCACTGTGTTTTATGGTTTTCTGCTTCTTGATATGTGACCGTGGGAGGTCATCTACTTCTGTGCCTCATTTCCCTCATCTGTAGAGTGAGAGAGAGAACAGTAATTCCTATTTCCCATAGAGCTGTCATGCGGTTTAAATGAGTTAAAAAGTCAAGCATCTTTGGAGGTGGCCACGTAGGTTAGGTGCTCTGTCAGGGTTTGTGGCCATGAAAAGACTATATTTACAATGAGGTCTTAGCAGCCTGTTCCTCCAACTTTACTAGTCAGGTGGTGTGGAGTAGATCCCAACTCGGGGTGCCTTCATAGGTATCAGTAGAACTGTGCTCCATAGAATTTACAATGCTGGTTATCAGAAGTAGGTCATCAGACCTTTTCATTTTGACACTCATTGTGGATTAGGTGAAGGTTTACAGAGCAGGCCATCAGTTTCACACTCAACAGTGGTTCACATTTTATTTCAGCTCACAGGAGCTCTTATGGCATAGTGATTTACTCACTGGTCTGCGATCCAAAAGGTCAGCAGTTAGAAACCACCAGCAGCTTTGTGGGGGCTTTCTACTCCTGTGAAGAGTTACAGTCTCTGAAACCGGCAAGGGGCAATCCTACCCCGTCCTATAGCGTCATCACGAGTCAGCATCGACTCCATGGCAGTGAGTGAGTTTCACTTCGTCTCATCATGGCAATCCTGTTAATGTGCCGTTGCCTTCCCCATTCCTCCCTGCTCCCGGTTTCCATGCTTCTCTCTCTCAAGTCGCAACCAAATCATAAAGAAAGCTTTACTCAGTGACTGCTTCAAACTGTGAAGCTGCTGTTCCTCAGCCTACCCTCCTGTGGCCTATGCTCTTCTGGAGGCAGTTCCCATCTCTCACCTTCAGTTTCCGCCACATCAAAGCAGCAGCTTTGGGATCCTCAGGGGACTCAAATCATCTGCCTTTCAATGCTCTTTGAATTGTGGCACCTAAAGAGTTGTATGAGCCCCAATAAAACTATTAAAATAAATAAATTAAAAAAAAAAAAGCCTGAAAGGGCCAGACCAGGACTGTCTGGTGAGTGGGGTAAGGTTTCCCAGAGGAATCCTCGGAGGACAATCCCTTCAAACGAGCAGGTGCAGTGAGCGTCATGATGGAAGAATATCCCTCAGTACCGCTCTCCTGCCCTTTTCCTCACCCATCCAGTTTTCTCACCCCTCGCAAAGCTTCTTCCTAACGGCCCTCCATGACTGTCTTGTGTCCTTGGAGAATATCTAGCAAGATGATCTCTCTGGAGTCCCAAGTTAACAGTCACCACGAACTGACCTCTCTGCCCTGAAAGTAACGGGCTCAGCAGATTCCCTCAGAAGCCACGGCTTTGATTGAACCTTTTTTTTTTTAAATTATGCGTTGGTAAAGGTTCACAGAGCACATAATCCGTTTTCCATTCTATAAATCATACACATCTTGTTTCATCTTATCATCACAGCCCTCTCAGTATACCCGCTTCCTACCTGTTTCTTTGTTTCCATTTCTCCTTCTTTCCTAACCCTTCTAAACTTTGTCCTTGCGTAAATGCCGCCCTTCTCATGGTGGTTGATTAGACTGAGGTGTACAGACCTAACCAGTGTTATTGTTCCCCATGTAGACTCGTTTATCGCTTGGCTGAGAAGTGAGCCAGGAAGGGGAAATTCTGGTCCAGACTTGAAGGGTGACTAAGAGCCACGTTCTTGGATTTTTTCTTTGTGATTCTCTTTCAACCCTTTCTTTGACATTGTATTCAACTGTTCACTTTTATTTCTGCTGTTTCAACTTAGGCGGTATATGTCAGTTTTGACCTCTCATTGACGTCACATTGAGCTTGGCCACGCTGTGCTGTGCTTTCATTAATAGGCGGCCTTGAGCATGCACTCTTTGCACATGGATCTTCTTAGCTGGTGTTTGTTCTTTCTCAGAACTCTGAAATGCTTGCCCTGAATCCAGTCATGGAGAAGCCCAGGATTTAGACTCTAGGCACCTGATATAAACTTTATTGTGCCAACACATGTGGGGTTAATTGAAGTGCGGAGAGGTAAATGGCTCTGTGAGCCTCGCCTTTCTAGTTTTTGGGTCTCTCGCTTTGTGATGGTCGGACCAGGGTGCAGCTGCCTTAGCCAGTTACCTGCTTCAGCTTGCAAGGCTCACTTCCTGCAAGACATCCCCAAGGAGAAGCTGCCTGGACATACCCTGATGTAGCCCTGGGTGCTGGAGCAGCTGTTTGGAGACCCCTGCCAGCGTTGAGGTGCTTACACGTTCACTGATTCGGCTTTCCTCCTGCTGTCAGCATCATTGTGTGTGTTTTGTGAGATGGAGGAGGACTTTGTGGATTGGAGTTGGACATATGGGTTAATGTTGGACTTGTGGGCTTGAACAGCACTGGGTTGGGATATTTTCTTGTTGCGCACTTACCCTTTATATAAAACTCTCTCTTATACATGAGTTTCTGTGGATTTGTTTCTCTAAAGTACCCAGACTAACATAGCACTTAATGGCACACCCTCCGTTCTAGGTGCTGATGCCCGTCTGCCTTGTAGGCTGCAAGGTCCAGCTCAAGAACCGCCAAGGCTAATTCCATAGCCCAGTTAGTTGCTTTCAGCATGACAAATTACTGTTTCAATGGAAGGGGACTGACTATAGTCTAGGAGCTGTCTTCAATTTGTCAGGAGCCCAAGTTTTAATTTTTGTGCATCTAGGTGGGCTCTCACAACCAACCTGTCCTTTTACAGGTAAATGTGATTCATCTGTAGATTCAACCCAATCTCATCAAAATTCTAATAGCCTTCTTTATAGAAATAGGAAAACCGATCCTCAACTTCTGTAGGGACCTTGGTAGTATAGTGGTTATACTTTTGGCTGCTTACTTACAGGTCTGTAGTTCGAAACCACTAGCTGCTTCATGCGAGAAAGACAAGGCTTTCCATTCTGGTGAAGAGTAACATCTCATAAACCTGCAAGGGCAATTCTACCCTGTCCTGTCAGATTGCTGTGGATTGAAATAGACTCAGTGAGTTTTGAGTTTTGTAGTGATAAAGAGTAAGGTAGCGATGGTTCAGTGGTGGAGCGCTTGCCTTCCATGTGGGAGACCTGAGCTCATCACCAGTCAATTCACCTCATGCTCAGCCATCACCCATCTGCCAGGGGGGCTTGTGTGTTGTTATGTTGCTAAACAGGTTACATTCAGTTTTTTAGATTAAGGTGGACTAGGAAGAACGGCCAGGTGGTCTACTTTAGAAAACTAGCCAGTGAAAACCTTGTGGATCGAAATGATTTTGTGATTGCTTTGCAACACAGGACTGGTTCTGTTGAGCATTGGGTCACCATAAGTTGGGGGTGAGTTGATGACAGCTAGGTACAATGTGATACGATGCCTGCAACGATGGGCTCAAACATGACAATTGTGAGGTTGGTGCAGGACTGGGCAGTGCTTTGTTCTGTTGTATGGGTTGTTGTGAGTCAGAACGAACTCGAAGACACACAGTAACAACAGAATGCAGAGAAATTCAACGACATAATTCCTTTTTAATCAAACTCTCAAAAAGACCAATTTTCTAATTACTGGAACATATATCATTTGTCTTGGAGGGCAAAGAGGTGGCAGTATCAGGAACTTCTTTCTTTGCTAACTAATTTATTAGGTCAGAAAGATATTTGGTGCAGGTAGAATGGACTGGAGATCCATTTTGTGAGCAAACTGGTTTGTTCCTTGTG